GCCCGCTGAGATCCACACAAGCTCAGAGCCAACGTCGACAAGCTCTCGTGCGATCAGGAGGAGGATGCTGATCTGTAGATATTGGATACCGAGCTTTGATTTGAACAAGGGTGATGACAGCCAGGTCTGGGCCTCGAAGACCCATCTCACCGCGTTGGCTCGCATGCACACTTTGTCGTCGTATATCATGGCTCCAATCGCTAAGACCAACTTTAACATCATTACAAATGCCATGTTGGGTTCTGATTTGCCTTTCCACATGTTGTCGTATGCATGTTGGAAGCTGGGAACATGCAGCACGCGGTAGAGAGTCTCCATGGTTCGAAGATATGCAGCGACGAGGTCATCGCAAACATCCTTCGGCGGAAGGTCTCGTGTTGGAGGTGTAGGCCAGGTTGGGGACCGTTGCGATTTGATAATACGGGCTAGGGGCTTTGCTCGCTGCATACTGGTGATTACGTTGGGCGTTCCGCTTTGTAGGAAGGGCTCAATTGTCTCGATGATATCACGGAAAATCACGAATCCATTCATCCAATGGCTCTGTCCGAAAACTCGGTTTTTGTGTGCAATGCCTCGAGAAATAGCTGTACCGCTAGGCATCCGGGTGTCTTGGAGGACATTCACTGTACAGGCAAAGCTGCTGACAGTTTGCACAGTGTGCGTCGACACAGGTGTCGAAGCTGATGGAGAGAAAGTAGAATTCGTGGTGCTTTCAGCTCGCGATAACTTGTCTTCCAACTCGGCGATACGTGCTCTCATAGCATCAAATTCGAATGGACTTCGGTCGGTGCCGGTATTGGCCGCTATGACGGATGAGCTTGAGGGTATGCTAGGTATGCTCCTGGATGTCGGGTTTCCGATGTACGGTTGGATGGGTGTGAAAGGCGCTGTGGCAGGCCTTTTATCCGGCACTCCAGTTTCGTAGACACAAGAGCCACTCTTGCTCTTCAGACAGTTACTGCATGGTGTTTCTCGATTGCAGCGTAGCTTTCGCTTCCGGCATAATGTGCAAGAGCTGGATGTGTTAGCTCCTGTCCTCATACAAGGAAAACCTAAACAGGTCTGCAGACTACAGCAAGGTAAAAACGTGCAAAGTGGGCGGCCTAACGTCGATGTAGGCTCCAGGGTGTTCAGTTGTTTCGTAGGTCAACGTCGGGGCACGGATGTACTCACACAGCGGGCCTCTTGCGTCTGCGGCTTGAGTCGGTCATCATGTAATGTCAGATCTTTGTTCGGGAAACTGAAGTTATTACGGGTACGAGGTAGTGGATGAGAGTATAAGGATCAGCGCAGCGAGATAAGTTGATGTTAACTCCGAATTGACCAATCAGGTTATATCCGAGACCATTTCTCTCATTCGTGAGAGAATCCGAGACCGAAAACCCAAGATTGTATATATACACCGTCAGGATGAGTGTTGTAGCCCTCATCAACTTCTCGACATTCCTAGAGCCACAGAACTCTAATCCAAGCCCCTCCGATACAAAGTCAGGATGTCCACACCATCAGCTCAACCCAACGCCGTTGCCGGTACCAGCACTCCTTCCATTCCCTCCTACGATGTTGAAAAAGCATCTATCGAATCAGCCCACGATGACGGCCAAGCAACCGTTGACGCTGAGATCGCCGCTTTAGGCCCTGCTCCTGACGGTGGCCTAACAGCTTGGTTGAACGCTCTAGGCGGCTTCTGCATCTTCTTTTGCTGCCTCGGCTTTACCTCCTGCTTCGGCGTCCTGCAACAATACTACTCTACTCATCAACTGAGAGACCATAGTATGGACCAGATTGCGTGGATAGGCAGTCTCACAAGTTTCATCCAGTTCGCTGGAGGTGTTGTCGGGGGCCCGATGTTTGATCGGTTTGGTGTTTGGGTGCGTATTTTCTAATGGCATGGCACTGCTCTCGTACTGACTTGAACGATTAGATGATGCGGCCTGCGACACTTACATACGTCCTTGGCCTCATGATGCTGTCGTTGTGTAGCGAGTACTACCAGTTCTTCCTCGCGCAGTCTGTCTTCATGGGCTCCAGCGTAGTCTTCCTTCAGACACCTGCCTTTGCAGTAATGGGACATTACTTCGACAAGCGACGCGCCGCCGCCCTCGGTATCGTAGTATCAGGGTCCTCCATCGGCGGTATCATCTTTCCAATCGTCCTGTCCAAACTTCTGAACGATTCGTCTCTGTCCTTTGGCTGGTGTATCCGGATCATCGCTTTCATCATGCTTCCTTTCATGATGTTTGCCTGCTTCGTCATCAAGCCGCGCATACCACCCCGCAAGACAACAGTCTTCCTTGGCGAAGCATGGAAGATGAAGCGATACGTACTGCTTGTTGCAGGACTGTTCTTCATGATGATGGGCATGTGGATACCGGTCTTCTACCTCCCAGTCTATGCCGTCAGCCGAGGTATGAAGCCTTTACTCGCATCGTACCTCCTCGCCATGATCAATGGGTCCTCCACGTTTGGTCGCATCATTCCGGGAATACTCGCGGATAAGCTGGGCGGCATGAACATGTTCGGTTTCGCCGGCATTGGTACCGCCATCGTGGTGTTCTGCATCAACGAGCCAACGACTAACGCTGGTATCATTGTTTACTCCGTCATGTTCGGTTTTGTATCGGGCACCATCATATCGGCTGGCTCGGCAGCCATTTCCAAGTGTACAAAGGTAAGTCAACTGGGTGAAATGCATGAGGCATACGCTGACTTGGTCTCTTCACCGTTTTAGGACCCGAGGAATCTTGGCACGTACATGGGTATGGGTATGGGTGTTGCAGCATTCGCTGTTCTCGTCGGCCCTCCAATCAACGGCGCGTTCATCGATCGATACGGCGGGTTCAAGGCAGTGTCGATTTTCAGTGGCGTGATGAGTTTGATGGGTGGGCTTATTGCACTGTCTGCTAAATTCGCCACCACGGAAGGTATCTTGGGGAAGGTTTGAAAGGGCGTGGCGAGGGATCTGTCTTGAGGAAGGCGAAGAGGATTGTTAGCATAGATGTAGGGGCTTCAGCTTGGAGGGAAGCAATTAGGTGGTCATAGATTGAATTGATTGTCATGTCAGAGGGTATGAAACATTGAACCCGTTACGCCAGATTACCGTAATGAAAACCTATACATCATCAGTGACAGCCGATCCCCACATGTAGGATGTCTTGGTAGCCATTCTCTTCCGATCTGCCCTCGCGACGGCACATGCGCTCGTCCCAACAGACGCGTAAGCGTGTACGGGTGCGCGGTGGTGCGTGAAGCCTTGTGTGCGCGTAGCCTATCTGGCTCGTCTATGCCGGGATGGGCTCGTAGGTGTTGTGGGCTTGGCGGTTGGAGAAGAGATAGTAGATGATCATGCCGACGACGGGAAAGAGGAAGACGACGAGGGCCCAGAGCACTTTGTTCGGCACGGGACGGTTGGACTTGAAGATCTCGACTACAGCACATGTTAGCTTTGTTCGATGCGCGACAACCGTGCTGTCAAGGGCGTTGCGGGGACTTACTCCACGCGATAATGTCGAGGACGAGGACGATGAATCCAATGATGCCGCCACCGGTGCCAGCTTGCCAGGGCTTGGCTGACTGCGCCGTAATGGGAGCTGCCTCGGCGAGCATGAACATGGACAGCTGGAGGAGCAGGGAGAGCACAAAGTTCATCATGATGGCGGTGATGGATGATGTAAGGCTGGGGTGGACAATATGAAGCGTGAATGGGTGCAGTGAGAGAGAGAAGGCGAGTGTTGCGTTGTTGACGGCTGCTGCCTTGTATATGAAAGCGGCGGGGCGGAGCTTCAGCTGTTTGATGTCCGCACGGACCTACGTCACTGGAAATCCCACTGTCACGCGACACTCTTCCAAGGTACACATGCATCATCCCGCAGGAGAGGAGGTATATCACTATTCTTAACACACGCAGCGCGTCTGTACCCGTGCTTATTCTGCGCATTCTCGTCGCCCACCAAACAAGCAAAGAAAAGATTCGAAAGACGCGTGAGTGGCGCGTTGGCCTCAGCCACACAGCCAGCCTCGAGGCCTTCCAGCGGCGAACATCACCACTTTTCCGACTGTCTCTGCCCGATCGATCATGCGGCATCACGAACTTCGTCTCGCCGCACCCCTGGAGTTCTCATGCTCCACCTATTCAGGCGGGCTTCATCTGCGGCGTCCTTGTGCACGTCGGCCGAAGCGACCAACTCTGCCAGTAGAGTCTTGACTTTGTCTCCAGAGGTCTTGAAGAGCATCTGGGGGCTATTTCTCTCTGCCCGTGATGCAAGTGCACTCGCGCGTCTGGTATCGCAGATTACACACGCTGCTCTGTCGACTTGGATACTTGATCCATTATCCTCGCCTCAAGGTCAACATCACAACAGGCGAACTTGATCAACTTTGCAAGCGGATGCTTCAAGCTTCTTCGAATCATTAACGGTCTCGCCGCCACCTATTAACATTAAGGCGGTTGTCGAAACACACAACACAAACATGATGGACGTCATGAGACAAGTACATGGTTAGCAGCTCCAGGTATAGTGTTATGCCAACAATTTGATGGTAAAAGGTGAGTGCCATTTGCTTCAGTTCTCTCGCCCGGCACAAATCTAGTACTTGTGGCCCTTGACTACGATTTTGCCACCCTCACATTTCAGACTAATCTCCTCGCCGAAGGTGTAATACCCATGTTGGTCAGCCTCTGGGACCGGCTTTGGCGATGGAGGTAAGTGCTCTTCTTTGGGAGGTGCTGGATGCGCTGGCTGAGTTGGGGCTGGATGTTGCATTTTTATCCTGAAATATACATATATAAATACATCCATCGTTGCCCTATGGCATGCCTCTTACTCCTCGTGATAGCATGTTGCAGCTCATTGGCCAACTTGCTGGTAGCCTAATGGCGCGGTCCTAACCTTATGGTACGTGAAAATCCACCTTCGCTGTTGAGAATGACATCCATCGAGGAATTAGGCCTCGTTTCGTCATCGAGTGACCATAGACCAGATCTCGATACACTTGCTCGCCTAGCAAGACTGGAAACAAAACGCGAATCCTTGTGGCTGTGGGACCCTTATCCGTTCGACTCTGTACACAATACGCCTCTGATGGTCGGAGGGAAGTGGGACGGCGTGATCAGAGTGGGTGAGTTCGGAAGGGCATGTAATCCGTAGAACCCTCATTTGAGGAAGATGCAGATTGCCAATGTCTGTAACGAGCTTGGTGTGGCATCGACCTTCGAACAGAAACGGGCGTATGAGGTGAACATCGGTCAAGGTTGTTGCCATTTGACTCATGAAATCAACCAAAGCATCTGCGTCAAGAATCCAATAGCGCTTGAGTTCCAGTCTCTCAAGGCGCGTCTTGCGGAGCTGGCTCAAGAGTTCACTACTCTTTTCCAGTTCCTTCTCGCAGTCGGACTTCTCACTGAGATGCCGAATTTTAGTGCTCAAGAGATCGTAGGGCTTGGCCAGACTCAACTCCTTAAGTAGCGGTATACGCCCAAGGTTGGTCACAAGATGTGACATTGCGCCCTCATTCCAACCGAATGGAAGCATGAGTCTTAGTACTCTCAAGTTTGTTGCAAGGTTGACCAGTAGGGCCGGCACAACAACGCTTGCGACTCGTAGGTCTGTCAGCTCTCGACCGGCCCGTGTCATTGCGCCCGTGATATCTGCGACTAGGTGAGACGCAGCTAGCTTCGTGTAAATGTGATGGCGCTTCTCTCCGGGAACGATAGCATCAATAGCAGCGATATCGATGGCTGTCAACCAACCTGGGATGTGCTCTGCGGGGAAGTCATCCTTTATGCAAATTCCTTTTAATGCTGAGAATTGGTGGAAGATAGCTGCAAGAAGACTCGTCAGACTGCGACCGGGACCAGCTTGCCAGTCGTAACAAGTCTGGTGGCTCTGCTGGATGTGTGCGCGAAGAGGGTCACTGAGGCCAGCCAGGGCCTGCTGGAGGACGGGCAATGGTGAGACAGGGAATCCAACATCGGTGAACGTCAGGACCTTGATCTTTCTCTGCAATTCCGGGTGAGCAGAGATCTGCGTTAACAGTGCAATACTGTGTTTGGTGCGGTAGAAGTGGCGTTCACCCAGGACGCGACCAAGGCTTGACCAGGCCTAAGTAGGTATGTTAGGTCATGCGCGATAGATATATGCGTGTGTACTTACACAATCTCTGAAGCATCGCGCGACGGTACGAACTTGCAGGATGTCCTTGCGGGATTCAGCTGTCAGCTCGGTGTAGCCAACTCCGTCCGCCCAATGCGAGTCGTCAAACGGGCCGTGGCCCACCTGGCCTGGATCTACTTCCGCCAGCGTTTCTTGTTCTAACTCTACCACAACCATTTCCAGAACATGCTGGGGTAGGCCTAATATTGGCGCGTTCATCTTGTGGAAAAGATATTTTTCCAAGGCTACCTAGTTAGCGTTGCCGGCGGAGGTCAATCAACTCGTCAGAGCTGGAAGTCGATACTCACCAGAGGGTTAAGAAGACAGTTCTGAAGCAACTGGGTTGAGAGACGATTATAGTGAACGCAGCGTTTGTACTCGGCTAATCACCTCGCATCGATCGCCAATGCTACGTGAATGTGAGTACTAGCGCGAACGATTATGCCCACTATTGAGTAATCCGGTGTGACTGAGATTTCCCAGTCCTGCACTATGCTTCACCAAACGCTCTGAAAACACCCAAAATCAATAAGAAGAATAGCATCACTAAAAGCTTGTCGATCCAGTTGATACAGCCAATCATACCATGTACAAAAGGCACGCAGCTACATGCTCGCTTCCATAATGTCTAAATGTTTATCACTGGAACATAAGATAAGAGAAAAGATTTTCATTACTGCAGAGGTGCTTGGGGGAACATAATCCCCTAGCACTAGACAAGACACCAGTTCACCTCATACCAAACCACCTTCCTGAATCTCTCTTTGTTCATTTCCCCTTCTGCACGCACTTATTCGTTGATAACTCTGCATTTTCTGTTCTTACTACGAGGCCGCTGAGCGTCAGATCTTCATCTCCAAGGCAAAACAGCAACGAAGACGTGACTCGGTCTATGATGACTTGTCAAAAGCAAAACCGGGGCTTCGTTTTTCCTTGTGGATGTTCCATATGGGCTCAATCAACGCAGCTGTGATGCATCTCTGCACCGTCAGCGAGTCCCTGCCGGCGGACTGTAAGTGTCCAATCGAGCAAGACCTCGTTGTTCATCAGCACCGGTCTGATGTAAATAGGGTTTACGTCCGTCCCATACAGCATCGACAACCATGTGCGTCCTACAGCCGCAAACTTGTCGTCGAGGTGCACGACCATAGTGTGCTTGACTGTAGTGGCCCGACCAGGAGGGCCATATCGATATATCAGTCGGAGGAAGCGGAGGTCGACAAGCTGATCGCGGCTCCGGAGAGCATTGGGTGTCATCATGATCGAAGCTGGAACGCCATTGAACATGGACGTCGCGCGGGCCTTCAGGGTACCGTAGGAGCCATCTAGTGACATATATGCAGCGCCGATTCGACGGGCTCGGGCGGCATCTGAAGTGAGGTTGCCATCTCTGTCGTCCGTCCGAATGATGGTATCTCCGCCTCCGGGCTTTTAGGACTAACTTTTTAATGTAAACATAGTTTAATAATATAATTTTAAGAGTTAATTTGCTAACACAGGTACCTAGGCTTACGCTTATATTTAATAGCTAGTACGTAGATAGTGTTGCTAATACACTTAGATAAAAATAGACACTATTGCAACTTAGAAGAATAAGGCTACTCTTTACCTCTAGACTTAATCTCTGCGCCTATTCTACCTAACACCTTTAACTCTATCTAACTTAACCTTTCTAACTACTAACTATAACTTCTATTATTATTCTTATTACTATTCTAGCAGAGTTGTAGTTATAGCTCTCTCTTACCTACTATCTATTTTTTAATTAAGGCTTAATGTAAAGAGACGCTAATAACACTAATATCTATGCCTAGCTTACTAATCTCTATAGACACGCTATAAACTTCTTCTACTTCTTATTAGGCTTAAGCGCTGTAACTACTTACTTAACTTGCTAATACTTAGTATAGAGCTACTTCTAGGTCTCTCTATACTTTAGGTATCTTGCCTATAGAAGAAGGTTGCCTAAATAATACACCTTAAGCGCCTCTAGGCTATTAATATAAGCAATATACTTAATTAACTATAGTCTTAACTAGCTTCTAAGCTCTACTTCTATCTATATATTACGTATAGAAGACTAAATAATAGCAACGTTATACGCAACTAAAAATTCTAGTAGTAAACTAACTAGCTTTAGTACTATTACGTTAAGCTTCTTCTTTACCTTTTTTAGAGGTTGCTTAATAATAGCAAACACTAGCTTTACAATCTACTACTACAGCAACTATTATAGTGTTCTAGTTAGCTTAAGCTACACCTAATCTAATCTATTTCTCTTATTATTAAATAGGCTAACTATTATATTATATATAATTTATTTATATATAGTGTAGTAGGTGTACAAGAGTCTATATTAAAAGTAAGAAGTAGTAAGAAGCTAAGAAGAAATACACACCTTCTAGGCTCTAGCTATAGTAACGTACTATATTCTCTTCTTCTTAACTATAATACGTTGCTAGCTAAAAGGCTAGCAATGCCTGTTAGACTTGCTCTAATTAGTGTTGTTTTTTAGGTACTTATAGTAAATTTTTAGAGACCTAAGTTTTACTTAGTAGCTAGAGCTAAGGCTCTAGGTAGGTTACTTAGCGGGTAGACCTACTACTATTTAAATTACGTTAACAACTTCTCTTTTTTTAACTTTTGCAACTAATAAGTAGAGAGTAGCTACTTATTTACTATTTTAGAACAACATTTTAACTACACAAACACCTTAGAAATCTAAAAAAAAATCATGATGGTATCTCCATTCGTTTCGATGGCTGTGGGTGCGGGTGCGGGTACGGGTACGGTTGCAGTGGCAGGAGCTGGCGCAGGTGGAAGAGTAGGTGCAGACGCGGCTGCTGCAACCACAGCAGGTGTGTTGTGAATTCCGCCGGGAGGTGGTTTGCGGAGCAGTTCAAGAAACTTAATGTGCGAGATTCCAACTCGACAATTAGGGCATGGATAATTACCCCAATGTCGCAGTCGGTTTGTTTGCAGGTATGACTCCCTAAAGTCCCTACATAGGGTCAGTGTATGTCTCATAGCAATTCGCAGGAAAGGTTCCTTACACGTGGTGGCGCCGGACTGAGTCCGCAATGCACCCTACATGGAATTTGTGCCCGCACCCTAGCTCGATAAACGTTCCGCGTGAATCTTCTTGACAGATCGAGCAGGATACCGGCCGTCTAGACGCTGACACTCTCGTGTAACTTGCTTCCATAGGAGGACGTCGCATTCTGAAGGTGCAACCTGCTCCGACACAAGGTCGTTCGGGGGCGCGACCCTGTTGGAATTGAATACCGAGGCATCCTGTACATAAGTGGTGTCCACAGAAGACTTTCGCAATGTGGTCGTCCCGGCCGAATCTCAGTCTGCATCTCGTACACCTAGAGTTCTGGGGGAGGTCCGCCTCGGCGAGGTCGATCATGCAGTATTCCAGTACGTCAAACGGCGCCATCTTCGCAGTGGTCGTCGAGCCAGTCCGGGCAGTGTAGTCTTCAGATTGTGTGATGGCGGTATGAGACTCAGGCGCCAAGAGTGGTGAGTAAATCCAACCAGTAGCGGATATTTGTTTGCTCTTTGTGTCCGCCATTGCCGAAAATCGTTAGCCTAGAACATTCCACGGATTGGACCCTGTATTCGAAGACGCCCTCGGAGTCAGATCTTGCCCCAATCTGCTCGCCGCCGCTGCACATCCACACTGACGAACAACCACCCTATATTCCAACAATATCGACCGATGCCACCCGCGATGCCACCCGCGATGCCACCCGCAAGAATGGAACTTCCCGTAGCTAGCGACGCTACGATGCTAGCTCAGCGCGAAGAGGGTTCATACACGTTTGTACAGGTACGTGCAAGGGCTTGTATGCCGAACTATCGTTAATTAGTCGGCAGGTAGTTTGCTACCACGATGACGGGGCTTTGGAAAAGCGTGAAGAGCTCATGCGCATTGTTAAGAGCAAGGACTGCAAGATCACTTACGTGGATCAGCTCTACGGTTCATTCTAGTATGGCATTCCCGTTCTAGTTCGTACGCTTTAAATGACGACAGCTAACATCGAATAGCTTCGTCGTCCCGGCTGGAGTCAAGAACCCGCTCGCCAAACACAAGGACAAGAATACGGTCTGTTACCTTCGACCCTTCAACAGCGCGATCAATACTGCTTTGCGCCCAGCGGACACCCAGTGAATGTCATCTGCGCTCAAATGTTAGTGCTCGACCTGCGTTTAGCACATCGTCACTGTCGCAACAATACCGGACAGGGGGTTCACGAACGAACGAATGCACGATCACTCAGAAGTCTGTTACGTAGATAGGAAAGCATTGTCAAAGGTGCATATACAATGAAGAACGTTACGAGAAATGTTTGTAGATTGCCATCTACTAGGTTTCATAACTATGAGATGAAATGTAGATATGCATGTATGGCTGAAATGATCTGCTGCTCACCAGGCATGCCTTTCGCATAGCTGGAAATGCTGAGTTGCCCTGTCATTTACCAGTCTCAGGCTGACGAAGAGCGATTCCGATCAGTCTGATCGCTGAATCGGAGTTACTCCGGAAGATCGTCGGCGAAGTCGTAGCCATCGTTGGGGTTGGGGCGAGAGGGGCCGTGAGGGTCCTGATTCTTTCGTTTGAACCCACGTTCCGCAATGTTCAGGATCGGGGTTTGCTTCCAGTCGCCCCATTTGTCTAGATCTTTCGCGAGGTTGCGCACGCGATCGTAGGCTTTGTTGGTGCGACCATTCTCAGGAAACTTAGCGTTGTGTCGAACTCGGACGTCGGACGCATATATGCGGCATTGCTCGACTGAGTTGTCATAGCCCACAAGCATACGATGGAAGTTATCGCAGATGTGGCCCCAGAAGGCAGACCACATGCTGCGGTATTCGGGTTCTTGCCGTAGGCGACTATGCACTTGATTAGTACCGATCGATTCAGACGATATTTCATCGGTTTTGCGGTCTAACTTACCGTAAGTCCAGGATCTCGCGGGACAATCCGAAGAATGTAGTAAATACGTCGTTGTTGAAATTGTTCACCCAAATACTGACCCTTTGACGCTTAGGTAGGAAGTACAACGGAACGTTCATGTTGGCATCCACAGCCTGCCTGGTGGTGAAACTTGTGGTTGCGACCTGAACGGAGTACTGAGGTTGAGGAACGTTGTCTCTGAGCCTCTTGTAATGATCCGTGTACAGCATAGCCTTCGCAAGCTTGTCTCCTACGAGCTTTTCCTCGTCATTCTCTGCCCGTGTACGTGCGTCTTCGTAGGTAGCGTACCATTTCGTCTGGAGCGTAGTGATGGCATCGGTGTACGCCTGTGCGTTTGCTTGCCGGGTTTGGGCCTGGGCCATAGTTTCGTGAGGGTCATCGATGATTGCGTACTTCACCGCCAAGAGCGTCCAATTTGTTATAAGAGTCTTCAATAGTCAGCAAAATGCGGACCATGGAACGAATGAATGAAGCATACCTGGCAGTTCAGCGTACATAGCTTCCCTAGTACGTAGTTCCGTACGAACGACTTTGGACCGTACTTTTCGGTGAACAAGGAGCGCTCAACCTGGGGAACGATGTCTACCATGAACTTGCGTCCTTTCGTTGATCTAGTCGTGATTCCGTCGTCGGCTGTGGTGACCCCGCCTGCGAGCAAGCTGCGGAAATCATGAGGTACATATCTTTGCAAGATATCAGTTCAGAGTCTCCAAGATATACGTCGCAATAGAATTACTGACCCATACTGCGCATGCAACACCCTTGCGATCTGGGTTGCAGCTATCCTTGTTGAGACCTCTGACTCAGCTGTGGTACGGAAGTCGCTCATTGGCGAAGCCGGCGTGACCTTCTCTTGTTGTTCTGGGAGATCTCCATACAACGCATCCGGGACTGCTTCGAGCTCTATGACAGCGGGTATGTCAATCACGACGGTAGCCGCCATGTTGCTACTGTTGGAGAGGGCTCAAATGAGGTCGCTCTGTGTTGGCCTGTTGTGAGTGGAGTCAAGTGGAGTTGAAGTCGGTCGAAGAGTTTATAGACACCAATATCTTTGCCGCCGCTCTTACCTTGACAAACCTCATGCCAGCTCACGGTATCCTCATTCGCGCTGTCATAGTACCTGCTTATCTCTCGTAGTAAAGGCAAACTCGCTTAGCCAAACAAATGCCGCATTCTCTCACCTCTGCATGTGTAAATGGCAAGATATATGCATCTGCGCCATTGAAGATATGTCAGAGATGGGAACATGTACTGAGAGGAGCTTAGCAGAGTGTGAGGATCATTGGGGGGCTATTGAGGGGGCATTGAGGGGAGATTTTACGGGTATTAGAGAACGTGCTACAGATTGGGCGAACGTTGGGTGAACGTTGGGTCAATTTCTGGGATTCACATACACACGTTACCGTGACATGGTCACGATGCGTACAGATCTGAAGGACCACTCCAAGACATTTCACTGAATCGTCTGTCTATCATAGTAGCCATATTAGCCCAGCACGCGAACTAACAATGAGAACCTTGTACATTCATTCCCACCCCAGCTGACATCACTCGGAGAGTAAAGATGCTCACGTCAGAACTTGGAGCTGCAAAGAATGTGTAGTGAAACTCGATCAGTCGTCGCGACGTGCTGTGCAATCGTGCGAGTGATCCTCCCAGCTCTTCCATTTCCCATCCACTACTGCATTGCACCCCAGGTTATGGCACCGGCGTACAGAGGCAGAGTAGTTTTTGACGTACATACCTTCGAAGGCAGCGTGGCTTTTGATGTGTCTTCTTACATCTTCGGTAGTCACATACGCTTGAGAGACGTGTGTGCGCATGCAAGCCGATGAGGCACAAAAGTACACGACTGAGTCTGGGTCCTGAGACATTACTTTGTCGTATATGGGGCGGAAACTTCCCTCGAAGCCGCATTTTCGCACAAATTTGAGGGCATCTTTGGGTCGCAGCGCAAGATCTGGTATTCGTCAGCCCGAAGAACTTTTACACGATGACTACTTGAAGGATAGAGCACGTACGCTTCTTTGTTTGTAGTTCAGACTCTTGTGCCACAGAGATTGCTAAGATGTAGGAGGTCATCGCGACCAAGTGCCGAGCCGATACGCCCGCGTCGCGCAGATAGTTCAAGAAGCCGTGACCGTTGAACGTACTCTTTGTCAGATCATAGCGGAAACTGTGGGTCTCGTTGTTCCAGGGTGCCCGGTTGCCCTCTGGGGAGAGCAGGTACCAAGAATAGAACATTTTGTCGTTGCAGACACGTAGACCCTTTTTCTCCCCAGAAATACCTCCTGCAATATATGGGACGTGGCCCATGGCAGGCCACTTCGTAATGGATTGGGCAAACTTAAACGCTGCAACTGATGCTTCGTGGTGTGGGAAAGCTGACATGCCGCCCTCGCTATCGGTATGTGGTGAAGCCTCTTTATCGCTTTGACCTGGGGAGTACTCTTCATCAGATCCGGCATCTGCACCATTCAGTTCGTTATCCGCACGTATCAGGTATGAACTGGATGCGCGGTTCGCTCGCCCTCCGCGTGTCGTGGGCTTGATCGGTTCGGAACCATCGTCGCTGTCTGACAATAGCGATATCACATCCTTAGCCGAAGATTCACAAGGAGGCTGAGCGGAAGCCCCAGTCCTGGTTCGCTTCGATGTAGTGCCAGTCGCATTGCCATGGCCGCGGTAGGCAAAGCCCTCATATCTCCGGCAAGATCGCTTTCGCGGATTTGAGACCCCGTCGACCCTTCCTTGCGGCTCCATTTCCGGGGCTGCGATTTTCTTGGCTTCTTTCTTCGCTGTAACGATGCGCGCCGTCACTGTCTTCCCTTGCTCTTTTTTGGGCTTGCTCTTGCTGAGCATCAGAGTCTCCAGACACACTTGAACCAGTGCCTCTCTCATCTCACCGCGGCCTCGACCAGGAGCTGCTGGGATCACCAACCATGGTATGGTTGTTTCTTTAAACAGCTGCAATGCGTATGTGGATAAGAGGTCGTGCAGGTCGTCCTTATCAGGGAGTGACGTGAGCGGGGCGTCCAGCTGCGATGTAAACTCTCGCATGAGGTAGAATGATGTCGCGATCACCTGTGCTCGGGGCGTGGTGGCTTCTTCCAACAAGCTTGGTGTCTCCTTGAAGAAGACGCAATCTCGGATTGCTGACATCTTGTGCCGTTGGAGCTTGGGTTGGCTATGGAATGATTATGGTGGCGATGCAAGGGGGCATGGAAATCGAAACGAGTGATCGTAGTGTGGGTGCGAATTTCGCTCACTATTAGGTGGTGTTGATGTTTACCTTGTGGGTCCAATTTCTCGGCTGTCGTTATGAAGGAAGGAGCGCGGGTATGCTCCTTCCTTCACAATGACCGACAGCAAAACCCTCACCTCCTAACGTGTGTCACTTCCCGAAACCAAAGTCAGTGTAGGCAGATGATGCTATTCGACTATTAGTAGTCCCACTATCATGTTTACGAAATTTGGACTCGATCACAAGCCCGCGTGACATTTTGATGCTGTACTACCTGTTTCAGTATGAATTTGCGACCTCATTCTGGAGCTGCCTAATAATGACGCATCGGCATGTGCGAACGTGAACAGACAGTCTACCAATAAAACCAACTGCATTCGCAGCACGCACTTTGCTCTTAATAGTACTTGCTGCCGTATGCCAAGAGCGAAAACCATTTGGATTGCTTTCCCTTCCTCTCCCTGATGAGCTTGTAGCGCCGTTCTCCGCTATCCGCTACTGCTCGTACAGTCCGGTTTGAGCGTCCACTGCTACCACCCTGAGCATGTGCAGTCGTAGTGTGTTTGTCGCCATAGTGAGTGTGGTTCCCATTTCCATGAGCGTTATCGTTGTGCTGCGTGATTTGGATGATGTAGGGTAATGTGGTGTCATGATGATAATTGGCTGGGGAGGGTAGCGATCGTGGGCCGCCTGGGCCTTGACCGGTCAGTCGGATCACGTTAACACCAGCGCCAGTGGGAAGATTGCGATCATCGAAATTGATGGCCTGCGATGTGTACCCTGGATCTGGATCACTGGGGTCTCCAGACTGCGTGCATACCAATGGATCTGAGCCGTGGTCGAACCGATTGGAAAGCGGGCTGCGTGGCCGCGGGTACATGAGTTTCGGAGATTTACGGTGTTGTGGAGGCATGTTCCACATGTCGTCCCTGGTGATTGAGCGTGACGCCCTGGGGGGTGACCAAAACCCATCAGCCATACCTGTATCGTTACAGTCTTGCTCAAGGGATCGATATTTTGGTGGCTGTTGGGGGTTGATACGGAACGTTTGTGGCTGATGTTTGATAGGATCCAGACCGAAGGATCGTGCTTCGTCCAATATTTCCTTTCGGGTAGCAGGGTCCAGATGTTCGCGGGTGAGATTTTGGTCCAGTTCGCTGACGAACAGTGCTGTGCGGCCAACAAAGCATATGAGAAACTTTTCGGCATGACTGTTCGCCCCGACCTGTTCTCGGAGATGCCGGAAAGCTTCAACAAGAGACCCATCGGCAGTGTGCTGCCAGCGCGAGTCTGTTCCGCTTCCGTTAATGATTCTGGCGTGAACGTCGGTCACGACCGATATGAGCTCATTCTGCAAGATAGGAAGACCAAGTCGCGCCGCGAGCGCCCACGTTTGAGCGAAGAGGAGCAAAGGCGCACTACTGTCGACGCGACTCGCGAAGACCGCCGGGAGATCGTCGCCATCCAGATAACTCGTCACGACCTGAAAAGGCTTCACTTGCACGTTGGGTAGTATGGTACCCGAGGGCATTGCGTTGATTACCGGACAGTTTCTGAGTACGCGATCATTGAGCTCGATCGGAACAAGGTGCCCGTTGCCGGATTTGACCGTAATAGTGACACCGTCATTCGGTATCTTGAAAGGCATGTTTTGGTGTCGGATGGTCGTGTGAGTCTCTGATGGTTGCGATGTCTTTTTCGAGAAGACAATGGGCTTGTGAGATTCCTGCTCTTATAAGCTATCGGCCACAGCATCATCGGTTTGTACCACATGAAAGAAATGCATCGTCTGATGTTTCCGGTGTAGATACGACTGCACATCCATTGGACAGATGTGGAGTTTGAAAATGTTTGTGTTCTTTGTCCTAATGCATGTACTGAGGGGAGTGTCCATCGTGGATGTGGCTTGTTAGGACTTTCGACGCCGTTGTACATTGTCTGAAAGTTTGCAGCTTTCCAACTGGTCGTTTGATTCGTCCTTCATGATTTTCAATCCCCCAACCATCTAGGACTGTAGGCGGCGTTTCCAGTGGCGCACTAGCGGTTTCCAAAGGTTTGTTTTACCATCAAAGTATGAATATGCTATGCCAAGCATCCCGCCGGCGAAGTGAGCCTAATGATGTTAGTAAGTCCCGTGGAGTCATGCGCGTTGAACTTACTGCGTGGCCAAAGTTCACGAAGCTGTAACCGCGAATGATGCCAACGAGATCGAAAAGAAGGATCGCAGGCAGTACATATTGCGCATCAAAGTGTACTGGAATGAACAATATCCCTATTCCAGCGTTCGGGTATTGCATGCAGAACACCCCTAAGATTCCAAAAAGTGCTCCTGATGCACCTCCGGACTTGATGAAGATCTCGGGGATGGGCCGTCGATGGAAAGGTATGCGGGTACTCCATGTCTGCCAGTGTTGAGCAAAGCCCGACAGCACACCTGCCGAGAGGAAGAACGACAACGTATGATATGGGCTACCCTCGAACAGTCGCGAGTATCCGACTGGTGCCATGAAATTGTTCAAGAAATACATGTTGACGAAAAAATGCAAAGCTCCAGCATGTACAAACATGGATGTGAATTGAGTGTAGTTGACGTTGCGAGCAGGTGTATGCCATAGTGCATCCCAGGCTTTAGGCACGAGAAAGCTGCTGAGATGAATACCGCTATTGGCCCCGATAAGTCCGTACGTGACTCGCGAAATGGGATCGAGACCGGTCCACGCTCCAGTTATGACTTCAGTTGGGGTCGGAGGTCCGCGTTGTGTTGTGTTCCATTGCGGTGCCTGAAACCACCCTCCACTAGATGCCGACTTTGTTTTGAGCTCCCTCTTGGCCTCTAGATAGGCGAGACCGTAGAATATGCCGCAGGATACCGAAAGAGCCCATAGTGCGGGGCGCAGGTATCTAACCCTCCTAGGACTTTCAGGTGTTGCGTTTTCGGTAGTATGATCGATGGGCGGTGATACGTCTACCAAGACAGATGGTTGCTCGTGTGTAGGCTTTTGGGCATGATTCCTTTGCTGGTCACGAAGTACGCGATTTTTGGAAAGGTGGCGGAGTTGTGATACAGCAGGACGGAAGGTAGAAACCGCCGGCAACCGGGACGCGTAGCACGCGGGCCGCAATGATGACCCGGCAATCTTGGATGCAAACATGAGGCGCGAGTAACTGTTGCGCGTGGTTGAGATGTAGGGGCGATGACGCGAGGTTTGCATTTGGCATCGGGCCGACTAGCGTATGGTCCGGGCAAATCTGTCTCCTGGATCCCCGGCGTGCCGGTTCCCTCTGCCCTCTTCTACACCTGGGCATCAGCCTCCATCAGCACTGGAACTTTGCAAATCAAGAGTGCACTCCTTCGCATAACAATCACATCTGCGTATCCGTAGCACCGCCTTATCTACTAACGCAAATGGACCGTGCATTCTGAGGAGCTTCCAAATTGGGATCCAGCAGTCGTTGTTGGTAACTTCGAGCTGCTCATAGGCCACGCAGCAGTATTTTACTGTGGCTCCCACAACACCATGCGCGCTGCGCAATGACTCTTCGCGAATGTTCGTTCGATCGACCAACCCAGGTGCTAGCATTACGCAGCGGATGAAGTTTGCGGTGCTACTCACGCAAGGTGTTTGAATCCATCCTCGGCGTTCGCAACATCCGCAGGGCACCCGTATTATATGGCTTCTATGAGTACGGAGACTGTGCGGCTTCATTTACATCATGTTGAGTTATACTTGAAGAGACGTGTTCAACACTTGTGAGCTTCTCCCGACGCCCAACGTCAGACACAGCTTGAGAGAAAGCAAAATGTGTAGATAATTTAACGAAGCATGTACCTTGGTTCGTTCACCACTGAACCAGAGGAACCACGAATCCTGAACCTCTCAAGTCGTATTGACAGCCCTGCCCATAGGATCTCATATACAGGTCATGTGTATTAATGCTGCACCACTTTCTCATTCACTTCTCCAGCTTCCGACAAACATTAGAGATTGGTGGCACGATCTACCCGCCTCAATATTCAACTCTATCCCACGCTTTCAACCCGAACAGAAAACCCCTGATTGTATCTCGACAATGCTCACTTCACTTCAGGCGACACTAGGTGATCAGTCTTACTCTAACGGACGGTCCTCTACAAGCTCCTCAAGTGCAGATATAGCCACTGTCTATACTTCTCCAGCGAAGGTGCGCACTAAAGTCCCGAACACCAACGACTTCGAAGTTCGAGTGGGTAAACCACCCTATGCGCGCTTTATCCATATCCCTGGCTCGGCCCTGAAGGCATGCCCAGTACTGCGCGCGTGTCTCGTACAGGGATGCAGGATTATGAATACCGACGCCGATGTCTTTGAGATCATCTTGGACTACTTGGGCAGCAGCAGTCTGATACGGCGACTGCGACCAAGCGCAAATATCCCACTAAAGCAGCTCACAGGTAGCTGTGACACGATGCTTAAGCTGGCCAAGGCGTGGTGCCTCGCAGATATGATCGACGATGTACGATTACAAAACAAGCTTGTAGATACTTATCGCGCATTCTACCTTGAGCTGCTGAACGCTCACGCCCAAATACCCCTAGAATACGAACCCTTCATATATTTGGAGGACCACATTGGCACTCACACGAAAATCGAAAAGTTCATGATAGACTTCTTCGCCGGACTCACTCGGCACACGGGCGACTTCAGCGCTGAGGAACTCCTCCCATTTCGACATGACGTTGCGCAGTCTCTAAAGCTGCGACGTGCGCAGTTGGTGGTCCTGAGACTTTCTGATGATATGATTGCTACCGGCAATGCATGCTTCAATGTCAGTAAATTGGACACGACAAAGCATGCGTCTCTACATGTCACAATGCCGATCAAGGTTTCCTCAAGTACGGATCTCAGCTCTTCATCATCAAAGCGCAGCTGCTCAACGTCTATGTCGTCATCCTCGGTATCTCCTCCCGTAACAACAAGGGCTCCTATCTCCATCAACTCGCTCATATGTGGCCGCGGACATCGGATGCGCCTGCCACTTCCAGGGACCACGAGCTTGACCGGAAGGTCCGAGGTTATGGGGTCTCACACGCTGAGAAGTGCGTTACAGCCAAATTTTGGCGCTTCTCTTGGACCCTCTCATAAACGGTCGATGTCTCTAATGACTTCACCTCCCAGTCGGGCGCCCTTCGCGGGATACCGACCTATCGCCAGACGTCGAGAGACCGTCTTTGGGTCAGACGATGATTCATCAGACGAAGATACAGTTTATGACCTGTTTCCTCCCAGATTACCGCCGCTACCACGCAGCATCAAAGAGTTATTCGAGACTAGCGTAACAACAGATGCATGATGAATTTGGGAGCTACCGCTTGTGAACCGTTTCGAGAAATGTTGTTAGCATATCTAAGCCCGCTGAACACGAGCTACGCTTTTAGATGGGTCAATACAAGGTTCTGCAGTTGTCGCAGCTTCTCCCCCTGTACTTCGCAAGGATTCTCGTACAGTACGCATAGTTGAGGCTAGGGAATGAAAGATGATTAATATTCCTATGAGTAATGAATCTATGGATTTGATAAAGTCTCTGTCTACACCGTGTGATGATCGCCAGTGAAAGAGCCTTCGTTTTGGAATTGTTATGCAATTTTAACAGCCACTGCAGCGCTGCCCGCGCTGCGCCAACACCTAGTACTAGGCGCTCACCACTAACTCTTACGATTGCTTTCCGACCGCTGCCGCAGGAACAGATGTAGGCACATTCTGGCTGCTTGAGCTGCTGACATTCGCCTCGTAGTGGTTCTGGTCCATGATACTCCAGTCGCCAATCTGCTCACCGCCAAACTGGTCGTAGTCCAGACCCATCATCTCAGCTTCTGAGGTGACACGAAGATGCATGCCAGGAATGAACTTCAGGATGTACAGAAGAATGCAGGAGACGACGAAAGAGTAGGAGGCGATGGCAACGATCTCGGCCAATTGGCGACCGATCTGAACGCCCACACCGTCCATGCCACCGAGGCCGTCGTAGGGACCCATGCCGTCAAGGTCATAGATCCAGGCTTGGCCGAAGATGCCGGTGAGGAATGAACCAACCATGCCACCAATTCCGTGGAGCTTGAAGACATCCATGCCCTCGTCGATCTTAATCCACTTGTCGACGTTCTGGCAAAGAGAACAGACGGCCGCAGTGAGAAAGCCGATTAGAGCAGCGATCCACACAGAAACATAACCTGCAGCGGGAGTGATACCAACAAGACCAGCGATGGCTCCAGAGCAAGCACCGACGACGGAAAAGTGACCCTTGGTACGGACGTACTCAACCGATACCCAACCAAGCACGCCAAAACTGGCGGCGGTGTTGGTGTTGAACGCCGCCAGCATAGAGCGGACTGTGCCATTGAGAGCACTACCTCCGTTGAAGCCGAACCACCCAAACCAGATGAAGACAGTGCCTATGAAGACCAGTGTGGGGTTGTGAGCCTTTCCGTGAATCTTGTCACCCTTGTGTAGACGCTTGCCGAGGACGAAAGCGTATGCGAGGGCGGACCAGCCGGACGCGATGTGGACGGGACCCCCACCGGCGAAGTCAAGTGAAGGAAGGTTGAATAACCATCCGTTCCTATGATCCAATTAGCTCAGTTCGATGATCACAATCGCGAGACTTACGCGTTCCATGTCCAGCATGCGATGGGGCAGTACACGATAGTCGCCCAGCAGAAGGCAAAGACCATTGAAGGTAGGATGCGACCGCGTTCAAATGATCCACCGACGACGAGCTGCACAGTGCATGCACAAAAGAGCATCTGATACAGGCAAAAGACGATCTCGGGCAAGAACGATGAGCCGGGAGATGGCGCAGACATGACGTTCTTGAGGCCAAAGTTATCCATGTTGCCAATAAACGGACTGGCAGTGCGAGAATACGCGAGCGTGTAGCCCCAGAACATCCACTGGAAGGTAACAACTCCCATGACTGCAAAAGACTGGAATAACATGGAGAGGGCCGACTTGCGACGAGAAAGACCAGAGTAGAGGAAGCCGATTCCAGGTATGATGAGGAACACAAGGAAGGCCATAATCATGAGATAGATGTAGTGGAACTCCAGGCCTGTGTACTGAAGGTTGACATTCTCGACATCTGGGTTGCCGCCATTGGGCTTCGCCGGATCGAACTCGGGCTACACGATTGTTATTCATGCTGCATGGCAGGTTGCCGTACTAGCTGGTGATACTTACGGTGGGTGGTGGCTCCATGATTGAAGACATGTCGGTATATCGACCAGGACTGGGACCTCTGGGGTATTCTGAAAAGGAAAGACGGGATGGGCAGGGGCTCTCCAGGCTGATATATCTTCCCACCCGTTCTTTCACGCCATTCCGCCAATTTCAAGGGACCGAGATTGATGCGCCGTTGAGCCCCTGCTCGCCTTTGACGCCCACACATGCGAAGCTGCTGTGCCCCCAACGTCGAACATGGCCCGTCTTGGCAGCGATAAGCAGGGCGTTCCCAATCCCATAGTGATGGAGCCGAGCTTACAATGTGGAGCTTCTGGCTTGGGTGGCTGTATTTGGCCTGAGATTCGGTGCCGCGAAGGAATGCGAAGAAATCAAGCGCGCCGGACTGGATGTCTCAAAGGGCCAAGGACCCGTAAGCCACGGTCGCGCTTGTACCAAAGGGTGAGGTAAACTCTCAGGGTCTTGGTGGCTGATAAGAGACAGGATCAAAGCGGTATAGTCGCTTTGGCCTGAATGATAAGCCAGGATCGGGGTTGATTGGATAGGACGGCCAGCCTGCCGAAGGCCATATGTACGAGAGTTTACGACATCGTCCTGTGTAACGCAATTTGGCGATAAGCTGGACGGATATTACCATCCTACTCTTGCGTGCTGCGGTGCAGCCGTTGTTGGCGGCTGATTTAATCCCGGTGGTGGCCCGTGTATCCGAACACCAGGTCCATGCCAACGCCGCGAGGCTGATCTACTACCAGGCTTCTCTTTGAATCAGTCCTTTTGAAGTTTCCTCAACTGCGCAAATACATCGGCGACCGTTGTAATCCTTTACAAGGCGTTGCGCGAACAATTCGCTCCTTCTCGAACAAGTGCCATGCATTCCAAGTGTCGCCATATGCTGTGCCGCAAGGACGCGAGACCAGATGTACTGCACGGTTATTACCTGCTTCTCAAACCAACACGCGGTAAGGGGTACCTGCAGAGTTAAAACAGGCTGCTGGGTACCGTAATTCATACACTATGGATAGCGGTGGCTCATCTACCAGAGAGCAACATATCCGGCCGCACTGAGCACCAGGGCGTCCTTGGCTACTTCTGCCGCAATACTATTTCCGTTTGATCGTACGATGATTAGATGTGCCTATTCTCATGTCGTCTCATGAGCTGCTGACATGTTTTGCTGTGAGTAGCAGGAGCCTTAGGGATACGCATCAGCTCAGTCATCAGCATCAGCACCACCAAGGTCTCCTCTTGTAAGGATTTATAGCATCTGCCATAGTTTCCAGGTTGCTGCGAGCCAATTCGTTGAGCCGGCAATGTCCTTTCCTCGGCATGTATAGTGAAGCGCGCGCCGCGGCGTTCAAGGCGAAGAGGGCTACCGATCATGTGAAAATGCATACTGCCAAGTTCTACATGGCCTGCAATTTGTCTGCATAGTCGTCAGAGCATGCCGAATGCATTATGCGATGGTACATACGTTGCACGAGAAAATGGCGCGTTCGTCAGCCTGCGCCGCTCGTTTCGATGCTAACAGCGTTGCAGGGAGCACATCAAGGTACCTAGGCCTTCAATCAGTTGAGAAAAGAATCTACACAATCGCTCTAGTACGATGGAATAAAGCGCGTCGCGATAATGATTGTGCTGTCTTGTGTCGTGTTGGTGAGAGGGTAGCGCTTCAGGTCGCTCCGAGGGCGTGTGTTTTGCCAAGAGGACCGAGGTAGCTGGAGCTGTCGTCATTTGGTTCCAACACCATCTCTCACCCATCGTACACACACGCGCGCACCCGCCGTGTTTGAGCAGACCAGACTGAACGGCACCCTCCGGAGAGCATTCGAGATCTAGAGCACCGTCGACAGTCTCGATGCGACGCGCAGGATACAAGCCGGACACTACGACTTAGCGGACCAGAACCACTCTGCATCAACCACTGCGAGCCAACTCTCCTGCTGGAGCCGGCTATCGCAATTACAACATGCATAACCATGGCGCGACACCCCGCAATGCTTTCCTCTTCACCCCTCCTTCAGACAGCCTCCTCTCATGAGCTGCTTCTCCCGCTTCGCCCAACATCAACAGCAGGTGGGCAACCCCAATGTGGCCGTTCAATGAAAGCTCGCAGCTGCCTTCATCTGCTAGTAGCATTGGAAGACACGCGAGAGTGGATGCTTTACGAGATGAGCTTCACGCTATGACATTACAAGACGCGACAACCCTACCGCCAGGTCCCATTTCGCCCGATACGGCCCTTCCTTCCTCTCCCGAGTCTCCTCCCATTCAGCCTTCGCCTCAAGCCCGAACCCTCGCAGCTATCGCAGATATACCAGGAATACATACAGCGGTACTTGAGTCTGGGCCGCGAAGAAGGTCAGCTCATAGCAGTGGTGTCAGTGATGCACGGCGCTTTGGGTTATATCTCCCAAGCGCTACTGCGAGCGAGAACAACCTTGCGCTGCATCGACCTGGACCATTCATGCTTCACGGCTTACATGAGCGCACTACCAGCCTCCCAATCGCTTCTTCAGCGGCAGCGGCAGCGCTTGAGCACGGCGCTCCATGTCGACCTCAAACATCCCCGCATCGATACGACGACGTAACCCACCACGATCCGCCGCCAAAATACGTAGCATTCGATCCCTATCCCTTCTTCGGTGTCGAGCCAAGAACCCGTCGCCGGTCAACTATACAGGTCATCGAGACCGTCTGCAAAGATGGGTTCAAGGCTACAACAGGCAAAGTGGGCAAGAGTGTCGTCAAGCACGTCGAGGACGTAGGCAAGATAGCGAAGGACGTACCCAGCGCCTTGAAGGGGGCTCAGGTCAAATTGAGTTCGAAAAGGGCCAAGGGGAAACTTCGCTGGTTGGAAAAACGCAACTACCTGAGTGGGCAGGAGAGGCTCCTGACGCAAGCTCTCGTTGGTTGAGGCGTGATCTTCTCCTTGGTGGAAAACCCCGGAAATATATCATGTCCACAAGAGTCACCATGTGTGGGAGGATGGGAGATGAATGAAGGGCGCATGAAAGGTGCTCTCTGCAGTTTTCAGTAATTTCGCCACAGCGGAGGGTATCTTCGACAAGACCGAGTGGATACCGTCGAGGGGCTGTGTTGCGAAGAATGGCTTTTGGATGATTGTGTCGAAGCTGTCAACCCGCCAAGGCTATCGACTCAATTACTGGAAGCGTACGGGTGGGCAGGGAGCTCAACCTGTCAATCAGATCTCTCAACTTATCCCATGATCTCCTACCACTCCGGGGCTCTAATCTGAACAAGATAACTGCCGCTCTTTCCGCTGTCCTTCTCTACCCTAACCTCTTCTCAACTCCATGTCTCATCTTTCGTTATATGCGTGTCCCGGGCGGCATGTCGGCGCGCTGCATACCGAAGGAGCACGCACCCCTGTAGCGCCCTAGCTTCTGACCGGCGGCCGTTTCCGAGCCCCTAGGCCAATTCGATCTAACGCGTAGCTAATCATTTCGCGTCAGATACCTAAGAAGGTCAAAGTACGTCTACATTCTCCACCACCGTCATTCAACTCATCACGAAATTGCAAGCCGCGAGCTTCGAAGTCATCCTAGGACAAGATGCCGCCGGCCACCGAACACGACAAGTCTAGTGCTCCGAGAGTAGATCTCCGCAGCGCAATAGGCCTGCTACAAAGCTACCACACAGCCATCGACGGCAAACCGGATGCGGAAAAATTGAGCCTTGTCGACTACCTTCGACAACGTCCAGATATGCTTGATGTCAACGAACTGACTATAGGCGACGTGGACGAGCTAACAGGTCTCTATCGCGCAGCCACACAGGAATACGATGGCTCCCTGGGTCAAGCGTCCGATGAAGCACCGCTCGGGGCAACAAACAAGGCTCCGAAGCAAACAGATGCAGGCGGAAGACTGTCACCAGAGGCTGGACGACGGCGACCACGCATCCAACAGGCAAGTACCGCAGGCTTTCGGGCAAGGCCGTCATCCTCGTGGCGAGAGAATGAAGAGAAGATCGAGGTACCAGATGAATGGGCGCAGGAGTTCTCCCAAGTCGTGCAGGAGAGCGTCATGGTTGATCAGCTACCGGGTGGCCTCACAGACGACCCGGCAGAAGACCCCGACGCGCAATTCTCGGTAGGAAGGAGTTCAGCGAAGCGCCCGCAGCCAGAACTCCAGCCTCATCTGGAACAAGATAAATGCCCGGTCTTCAGTTGTTCAGAGCCACCTCTGGTAGGCTTTCGTCATTGTCTGACTCATGTCAATTTCGCGAAATCTCTGTTACAAGACCCGCCTGGAGGTTCAGAGTGGATGAAACAGCTGCACTTCCTACGCGAATGGGTCACGGGCTGCCAGAAGGACGCGAGTCACATATGGGCGTTGGACGTTGAGTTTGACGTGCTCAACTTCGCAACTCCCATTGCGTTTACTATTGCAATCAAAGACTTCAGAACGGGACGTGATGTTATCAACACGCGAGTTGGACACGGAGGGCTGACCGCAGACGAAATGATTGAGGAATATCACGACAAGTGTCCCGATGGCTTCCAGCTTCACAAGCGCACCGAGAATGGGTTCGATTGAACACATTCCAGACATCCGAAAAATACTAACTCAGCACAGCTTCAGAAAAGCATTCCAGCGCTATTATCCCGGAGGTATGGCCTTCGGTACCGAATTCAGTGAGATGCAAGATACCATCCTGAAAGCAGGCTTCGACCCAAGAACGCACGCCGTCATTTCCTACAGCACAAATCTCGACCTTCAAGTTTTCTGGAAGGTATTATCTGGGATTGATGAGCCATTCGTAGCCCCGACGGTCAAGGAAAATTTCCAGTTGCGAAACGGTTTAAACTACTACACATGCCTGCAGACAGTCAACATCCAACATGTGGCGAAGAACATGCTGAAGAGCGCGCCACGGGACGGCTGCAGCTTGACTGGAATATACAGGACATTGTTCGGAATCGAAGATGTGACCGCTCACGAAGCTCCGGCAGATACCCTAATGTTGCTCGACATCATTCGCATAATCGCCGCGTTCGAATCGGGTCACTAGCAACAAAAGGCGACCGTTCTCGTAGCTTCCCCAAGCTCCACCCAGTTAAGATAGGAAACAATCTACAATGTTAGCCCAGTATAAGCTCAGGCAAATCCCGATGAGCCAACATTAGATAGCTCCAATCAATAACTCGCTTATCAATCAAGACCTTTTGTTACCATGGAACGTTCAATCTTTATGCGCGATACCACACCCCAAAGAACCAACTCCTGACCCTCTCCCTCTTACTCATCCTGCTTTTCCCACTACCCATCTTCAGCTTATCGCTTTCCTGACGAATTAGCTCTATGCTATTGACGGTGCGCAAAGCAAGACCACCCAAGCCTTCCACATCCACATCTTCTTCGCCCTCTTCCGGATATTCGCCATGGCACCTTTGTTCTAGATCCCTTTGACGAGAACAAAATGCCATTCTCGTCCTCTTTCTTCTCTCGACGATGAGACTGTCGATTGCATGGAGAGCTAGGGAAGAGATGACTTCAGCGTCATCGATCTCTTCTTCAGTTGTGTTGTATCGTGTCCCTGGTCGTGGAAACGAAGGCGCTCTTGCGTGACAGCGTGTGAGTGGGTATGTAGTTGCGTGAACACGGCTGTGTGCGGAGTCGGTTGGAGATGACATGTCTGCGTGATGTGCGCTTGATCTTTGGGATTTGGGATTTGAAGGTGCTCAGTAGTAGTTGAAAGCTGATATGGCTGTCGCTTTGATCAAGACTGGAGATAACCGGTAGCGTGGAGGGCTGAGATTAAGTAGAGTGTAGCAGAGGCAGAAGGGATGCTGAAATGAGAGAATTAGAATTAAGAGCAAGAGCAGACATTTATAGCAGATTAAGAAGTCAGAACCTGCGGTTTCGTTTTCTTTCAAACTATGGGAGCCATGATAAAAGTACCTTGGTTTCGTGTGTTCCATTTGCCCATAGATTGGTTCCAAACATGCCATATCTTATCTCACATTACCCATCCCTCATCTCTCATTGGAAGCGAGAACTTAACGTCAGATGTACCGACTGTACGCCAAAACAGCCACTCGTGTGGTACGAGCCTCAAAGCACGCGTCGCATCTCATCAGATATCGGGAAGTCAACGTCGGCTCCCGCTAACTTGATGCCAAGCGCCCTAACCTTCTCTTTCAGTTGCTTCTGTAACTGTGCAGGCATGGAAGGCAGCCCACCAAGTTCTTTAACCTTCTCTCTAATCTCGGGAGGTAGCAGTGTCAGGTAGTCCATGTCGGGTGAGCTCATCATCTGCCTAAACCTCTCGTCAAACATTCCTTCGAAATCTTCCGCGTTCAGCCCACATGAAGAGCTGCAAAGATGCTCCGTGGGGATATCAGTATAGCCTAGTCCACGTAGCGTCTGACATGCGAGTATCTTCATCTGCTGTTCACATGATGTGCAGTACCAGCGCGACACCTTCTCCACACCGAGCTTCTTTACACATGACTTGTGAAAGTATGTAGTAGTACAGTCGCGATGTGAGCAAACGACAGTGTCCTTCGCGAGTAATCCGCCCTTTGGTGCAGTAGCACGACAGTAGCAAATGCGCTCCGTACCTGGACGCTCGAGTTCGTTGTGCTGGATATCCTGTAACATGACCTGAGTGAGCTCCTGCTTGTTGAATCCGTTCTTTGCGTAAAGTCGCTCGAATCGAAGCTCTTGAGCCATTAGTGCTCCAGGATTGAAGCCATTCTTAACGCCGTCGTACTCCTTCTGCAGACGATCAGGTACGCCATCTAGGTTGCCATTGCGCGCTCGAATAGCAGGGTCTTCCATGAGATAGTTGATCAGGTCATCGTCTACTAGCATCAAGCGGCCTTTGGTCCGATGATCCTTCTCGTACAGTGATAGTAGTTTCTCTCCACGGAGGCGGTTGAAAGGCCCGGTGCTACATAAGTCTAGGCATGGCATCACCAGGTAGCATTGATCTCCCAGAGGATCAACACAGGGGCAGTCTGCGTCAGAGTCAGTATCTGCTGCTAAGTGCCAGTTGCAATGCACTTACGAGGCTCATGGAAGGGACAATCAAGAACGTCATTGTTCTCAAACGAACATGATGTGCTGTGTGAACAACCATCCCATGACGGCGGGAACGGATTTGTGAGTTGATCGCTAATAAATTTGCGGACAAACCTAATCCAGTGCATGTGCTTGCCGTGTTTTGTGATAGGTAGTACAGGTTCAGGCAGAGGTACTGGAGACACTCCCTTAGCGAATGTCGCGTCCGTGGAGATTGGCTCTGATACTACCTTAGTGGAAGCATCGTGATCATTGGCGCTCTCCGTGTACGATAGCACATCTTGAGAACTATCGCGGTCCTTGTTGTAGAGTATAGTCTCAGGTAGCATGGAAGCAGATTGTGCTAAGACGTCACCCACGTCATAGACGTCTTCAGTGGCTTCGTTTCGGAGATCAGGAAGACTGATAGCTGCCTCCGGTATAGACTGCTTCTTTGCCTTGCGCTTCGCCTCTCGTGCCTTCTTAGCCTTCTTCTTCTGCGAGATTGCGGGGTGGCCGTTGACAGAGTCTTCCGTCTCGGTCGTAAAACTCTCGGGTGCTGACATACCCCAAGCCTTTGGAGGCTTTACTGCTGGAGCTGGGCTATAAGGCTCATCTGAAGAGCTCCGCGAGGCTGAGAGGTTTGGGAAGTCGCGCGAATCGGAAAGCCATGGAGTCGGTCCAGGCCGAGGAGCACGAGCCGGAGGCTTACTTGGAATGTTACCCCAAGCGCGCGTCTTTGCTACCGATTTTGTTGGCGTCACTCCATTCGTGACGACTTGCCATCCATCAGGAGCTTGTTGTGACTTCTTGATCCGGCCAGGCACTGTAGTTGGCCCCCGCTCTGAAGCCTTGACGTTGATCACCAGAACCGCAGCCGACTGTCTGTTCAAGGTTGGGGCGGGTGGCAAAAGTAATAGCGGAGTATGATAGGGCTCGATATCTGCATGGTAGAGTCCATCGTCGCCGCTCACGCGCTTGTGGTTGCTCTCAAGATGCCTTCGGTCGGAGATGTCAAGGGTACTAGACCGCGGCGGCGACTGGCCATCGTCCTGATCACTGGATTTCTGTCAGTTTTGAAAATAAATGAATTGCGCAACGAAGTTGGCCAGCGTCTTGTCGCAATTTTGTGGGACTAAATGAGGGCAAGGGCAACGAACCTGACCAGTGGAGCAGTCTCATCCGTGGGGGAGATACCGCCACTGAAATCACTCAGACTAGACGCGAACTTCTCTCCAGTTTTCCAGTCCTTTCCAGTGTACCTCTCTTCTACAATACCGTACGCGGTCTTACTAGTGTATCGGAGATAGCCTGCTCGTCGCATTCGCACTTCGGCAGTGTCTTTCTTGACCAGAACGATGTCCTCCAGGACGGCGTGCTTGAACGTTTCGACGAGGCCTTGGAACATCTTGAGTTCTTTGCCTTGTAGACCCTTCGTTTTGGTGTTACGCCTGAGTAGCTCGTTGATACGGAAGGTTTCCAAGATGCGGTCCATTTCGGCTTCGAAGTCAACGTTTAAAGACTCGACAGGCGCCTCGGCGAGCTTTCTGATTCCCTTGCGGCCGACTTGCGTGCTGTATACATGGGCGTGGTACTGTGGAGTAGTCAGTAATTTGACAGAGTAGATACCAAAACAACAGACTCGGCACCTACACGAAGCTGTCGCTCAATCTCCTCGATCTCTTCCGGATTCCGCGGCCCGTCCGCGTCGTTGCTCGTTATGCCCTCAGCTGAATGTACAACGGAGTCGATGTATCTAATCTCCTCCTGCGTAATGACTCTAGATCTACTAGCCGCTCTTGCCAGACGCTTTGCATCCTTCCGCTCACGCTTTGAGGATGGAGTGTCCTCATCGCCGAGATCTCTCGCTCTTCCACGTTCGTCTAGCTCAGATTCGTCCGGCACGATGTTCCAGTCGATCTCGCCACAACTCTCATAGACGGCTCGTAAGCGCTCGGCAATGTCGTGATGACGCTTGTAGTGTTGCTCATCAATGCCCATGCAGTACTTGCAAGTATGACCGCGAAATCGCATGAACATAGCCTGGAGAGGTTAGTGCATTGTTCGCCGGGGGTAAGTCCTATGCAACAAACCTGATGGAAGCGCACGCATGGCTCACTGTGCTTGCCGAAACAAGACGCCCTCGCACCGGGGTGGCTCAACGGACGCTCGCAAAAGCCGCAGTGGTGTCTATTGGATTATCATTAGCGACCGTCTGCTTTAGGTTGTAGCCACGGGGCTGCGTTCCGGTGGCCCAAACAAACAAACACCGGGCTCAGCAACTCACTTGAGCGCCTCGGAATCCTCCCACTTGAAAAGAAGACTGTTGACCATGTTAATTCTGGTTGCGCTTTCGATATCGATCACGACCTGGGTAGGCTGATGGCGGGAAGGCAAAGCCGCTAGGATTGGATGCTTTGAGAGTGTGAGCGAGAAATGCACGCGCGATTGGGACGATAATTCTGCTTGGACACGGAGTGCAGTAGAGAAGACGCGCAATTGTTTGGGATTGTGCGTGGCAACGTAGCGGGGCGAGGTGCAATGGCTGTTGACTGGTGTAACAGCGCATCCAGGGTTGCTCCGAGGCTGGCTACGTAATTGTGCGGAAAGAGCGAGTGACTGCGACAACACAACAATGAAAGATTTCTGTAGAGACAGCAACCAACGAGACTTGCGCAAATATCAATTGTGTTCGATCAAAAAGAGTGCCTCCGCGTCGTTGTAAGGAAACGACTCGTCGTCGTTGCGGTGAAGAATGCAGTGAACCGACCATCCGCGAGGTTTCGCGTTGTTGCATCATCACGGCCAGGATTAGACAGGATTTTGACACCATACAAACGCGAAGACCACGAATCAAGTACCACTATTCAACATCCGACACAATGCGCGCACCTGCCCAGACATAGGGATAGTTGCGTTGGTACCAGTTGACGCTTCGGCACGTTAATCATGTGGTTTCATCTGCAGCCACTGTCGTTCACTTACAAGGTCTTACGCCCAGCGATGCGCGGATGCGTCGCCCACGATCCACCCAGCGTGACGTTGTGTTTACCGTCGAAAAAATCGGCTGCCTACTGTCAGCGATATCATCTCATGATGTGTTGAGGAGCAGAAGCCCGTCGCATCGCATCATACCTGTATAGCCTGGATACAACTCCATCGGCTCGAAGCCGTCATGCTTCTCCAGCACAGTGCTAGTCCACTCCCAAACACCACCCAGGTCAGATTGGCCGCAGAGCTTGTTGCCCTTCTCGACCACTGAAACTGGATGCCAGTGTTTGAAGCCCACATTCGTTCCTTCGAGGTCAACGAAAAGATTGCGTGGGTTGAGACTAGATACTGCGCCAGAGTCGCCGTTTGACAAAGCTTGGGATGGTGGCGTCTCAAAAACGCCTTCGTTGATCAAATGGCTGCAGACTGTCAGTCAAGAGTCTACGAGGATGGGTAACAGGCATCATACCCGTTCACGGCTGGAATCCTGTTTCCAAGCGAGCTCTCAAATTCCGGCTTCATGCTATCGACATAGCTGTAGATGCTTCGTGCTTCTTCCATGGTAGGGATGCGACCGCCCATCCAATGCGCACAACCAGCTAATTCGTCGTAGGAGGCGACTACAGGCCATCCCATAACAAATTTCAAGGGAACAGTGCCGTAGACAGTGCGTACAAACTTCCCTTCGGTGATGCTCTGAGGTGAGGCATTACCACCTTCGTGGTGGCCGTTTACCACGCTGTCTCTCTTGCCAGTGCTCAGGTCCTTAGTGTTTGAGTATGGCTGTTCGCACCACGACGCAGGTATGGCTGGATTCGACAAGTTAGCGGACAAGCTCGGAAATTTGATCAATACACGCGACAACTCTCGCTGCACAGCTTACGTACCTGTCTTTCCTGTCTTAGACAGATATGTGGCATACTCCCCATTTGTGATTGGCCGAGCCTTTGCGCGGAAGGACTTGACATGTGCTGAGCGGTGAGGCCTCTCGTTATCCCAGCCAAAGTAACGCTTGGTCTCAAAGTCATTCTCTGGGTCTTCAAGACCGATGTCGATGTCCGCTTCGGGGATTGTGAACCACTCGTTAGCGGTTGCTAGGGTCTCAGATTGCGCCGCAAACGCCGAAAAGTCTGGGAGTTTGGTTCCTGGAGGTGGCAAGACCTTGTCACTCTGAATCAGCATATAGAGCAACGTCTCCAGGTGCATGGCTTCATGCTCAAAGCCAATCCACAGTGCTCGCGACACGCGACCGTTCGACTCTGCTTCTCCCGAAGTGTACAGCGCCTCAACCTTTTGTCGCACAGTCTCTTGAAACTTCAGGATTGTCTCCAGCGGGGGCCACGCTTCGGGAACCTCGGAGTGAGCATGACATTGAGTTGGGTCTTCAACATCAGGGTCAACACCACGTTCAAAGATCTTCCAGAAGTAGGCGGGGTCTGACGGCTTGCCATCGGTGGCACGGGCGATGTGGATGTCCAAGAATGTAGGAATGTGGCCAAGGTAGAAGATGCACTCGTTGCGGAGCTTGATCGGCTTAGATAGTAGCTCTTCTTCGGGTATCATGTCCTTCGTGACCGCGTCCCAGGCCGTCCAAAGCTCACGCCACTCGGTCAAAGATGGCACCGGCTTCGCTGCGTATTCCTCAGGTTTGGTAGGGAAGAACATTGCAGGCTTCGAGACGAAATGCAGGCCGTAGTCGCCCTTCGAGTTTGCCCATACAACGTTCTCTGCGAGTTTGGCCAATTCCCAGAGCTCCTTTGCTTCCTCGCGACTGTACTTGTAGGATTCTTCGATACGAACTCTCTCGCCCTGCTTGATATGAACACCGTCGACGACAGTGTCTTTGCGTGGTGCGACAAAAGCGTGATGTCTTCCAGCCTGTACGTCGTATTCTCCAATGGCTTCCCAGTCCTGGATGTCGAAAGCTTCCTCGCCCATGAGTGCGTTCGCGTGCTTCAGCCCGTTGAGAATGAACTTGTGTGTTACACCGCCGCGATCGTTGTATGCATGGTAAACACGCTAGTATAGGAATCTGATCAGTGGGTGTTTGCATGCCTGTGGGGACAATAGATTTACCTCGGGATCCTTGCATGAATCGATACCGATAAGCATGGTATCGCCAGTCTGGAGAACCGCACCAAATCCAGCAAGGAATGGCGGTACTTCATGGCGCTTGAAATTGCCCAAGCTTGAGCCCAGCCAAAGGATTGTTTTCGGTTTCGCTTCGATTTCGGGAGTCTTCAGCCACTCAAGGGCATCATCATAGGTGCCATAGAGGCCAAAGCATTTGACGTGTTTGTACCCTTCTGCGTGCTTGATTAGCGAGTTTCGGCAGTTCGCATTGCCCGGTATTGCGCAATGATAAGGAGATAAGTGTCCGGGCCACTACTACGTTGAGGTGCATGTATGCAGGCTCATGTAGGTCTAAGCCACTTTCACAGGAAACTGATGCAAGCGTGTCGCACTATACAAACCCCACGACTCCCCTCAATGTTAAGCATGATAGAATGAATCCTCACCTGTAGGTATTTCCCCAAATGTTCTCTCCAGCTCCGGCAGGGAAAGGTCGACAGCGTAGTACTCGACGTCTTTGCCAAGACGGTCGACGGCTTGCAAGAGTATGTTGACTTTTCTGAGGTTGCTGCAAACACATTAGTATTCACGAAGCACAGGGCTCGTTTCCAATCTCTTGCGCAGTGCGAGCCAGGACCGTACCCGCTCCCCAGTTCCACGACAATGGACCCCGTCGGGATTCGTTCGGCGATTTTCTCCGCATACGTCTCGAGGACTTCAATCTCGGCATTCGTTAGGTAATACCTAACATTGCGAACATTCATCAGCTTGGTGCTCATATAAACCAAGCGTGAAGCTGCTCACTCCTCTTGGTACGTGATCTCTTCGAATAGACCAAGGCCTTCTTGGCTAAGAGAAGAGAAAAGGTTAGCGTGCATCATGGGCTAACCAAATCGTTGCTTACTCATAAAGCAGCAACGTAGGCAGCTTTTTTTCGCCGCCACTCTCAGGCCGAAGACCTTTCTTGATATCAGCGAGGATATCCGACTCGGCAGTGTCCGTGCGTATGTCGATTATTTTGGTCGCCATCTCTCTGGAGTGTTTGGTATTGGATATTGTGGTCAAATCGGTATGCCCCTCAAGAGCCGGTCTACTAGATGCGTCTTATGCCGAGGGTCGCGCGATACTTATACAGCGCGTTAAAGTACGTAATGTGGGTACTCGGACGCTTATGCCGTGCGGTAGCTGACGGTAACTAGAGGGCCGGTAACTGTTCAAACGGAATAGTGTAGAATGCAATGCTCCGTCAGAACGTGTACTGTTTGGCTAGCGGCTGTGGTGGTAATATCACTCGCAAACACGCGACAAATCAGACACGGTTCCTTCTCACGATCAACGGCGGTGCGAGAAAACCGCCTGTTCGAGTCGAGCACATCATCGGCAACAACCCCACCGAGGCAATCTACTCTGGTACCAATGCCATCCGGAGGCATGGTAGTTGGAACGTCAAGCATTGCTACGAGACCATAATGATGACGTCAATGTGTGCCGGCTAGGGAAAGGACGGAAGTCCGGGAGCAAAGGCAAAGAAGGTCTCGAAGACCGACGCCAAACCACCGCGTTCAGGAACACGCTGCAGGGCAGGCTGAGGCTGTTCTTCGGTCGCAAACTCTCGCCGACTGTAACATGTTCGTGGATGACCACACTGCCTGCTGCGGGGTCGATGCCTTGCTGCATAAGCGATGCCGTCACAGTGGAGTCGCGAACTTGTTGACACATTACCGTGCGCTCAACCATGGCTGGGCATGGCAACGTGATTGGGAAGGCGGGCAACTTGCTGAACGCGGTTGGCATTGGCGTAGGCGGCATGGGGAGTGTCAGGTACAAGCGTATTGACAAGCAGAAACATGTGGGCAGCAACCGTGACGACCGTCTGGTGCAGGATCATCACGTGATCGACTGTGGGCCTTGGCTTCAGCCGATGCACGACTGGGCAATAAGGTTACGATGACGCGAGGTGCAACACCGCCGCGGAACAGCAGCGCGCGGAAAAGTCCGCGCGTCAGAAAACGATCATCTGACTTTGTGCACATTCACCATCAATGCCAGTCATCCATGAATCGTCCGCTGGAGGTCGTGCTGAAAAGCCACGATCCGCACGCCAGGCAACAACCTTGATCGTCTGCATACCCGCTGTGACATGACACGCATGTAAGTGCTCTCACTTACGCGCTGTCCCGCTTTGAGGTCAATCACGCTCCCTTTCAATATCAGCTCAGCCCTCATACCACGAAACGATCGCAGTGCATTTGATGGCTGACTCTGGGTCGTTCTGCGCAGAAGTGCCAATGCTTGTTTTCGAGGCGCATCCGTCGCTCCTTACTCACCAGTCTGCCAATATCCAACGTCTCTTTCAAAATGAGGGCTGCCGAAGAATTCAAGCAAACACAGCTCGTCTGGGACTCCCCTTTGATGTGCGCATACGAGCTGTCATATCATCTCACCGATGCTGAGTCGCCTCGAATGACGCTACGCACCAAGCACAGAAGCACACCGTAGCTTCCCCCTTGCATAGGGCATCACAATACCACGGCCGAACAAACGAACGGCATCCGCTAGAGCCGTACCTGATCCCATCACCACCGCCCATCTCCGCACGCCTTTTGAAACGTCTCAAGTACTGAATCCAGTTCACGCGAACGCTTACGAAGTCTCAATGCGTCTGACACGGTCATCAGACCTGGACTGGAGACGTTTTCAACAAAGACGGCGAAGCAGCAATCGTGCAAACCTTCGCACCCCGCATGAATGTCGTGCTTCATGGGTCTAGCGGCCTGGGCGGCCTGAGCGGCTTGAGCAGCCCATGATAGAAGAGCCCAGTACAGAGCCTGGCTGCGGCAAGCCTCCCGACACCCCTTGGTGGCCCTTCCAAGGTTGCAATTGTCTCCGGGCAGATGGCTTTGTCGCAGTCTGGTTACGAGTCTTATTGCTCCGTGATGGCTAAGAGATGGGCGTCTGGCCGCCAACCGCGCTGACACTCGAGTCGGGCGTTACGCCACTGCTGTTCCCGAGCCTTGCTCGCGCTTGTTGTTCCCGTTATTCGCGACATCGTTCATATTGTATGGAACAAGCCCGCGCTAAAGGTGATTAGTCTCTATTGAACCTAGACGTTGCGGTCTGCTGAGTTCGCCCGCGATCAAATAAGTCTCTTAATCAGACGAAGCGGAAGCCTTGCATTTACAACATCTCCTATTTCATGTGCTGGACATCAGTTGTGACCCAGTTTGTTACTCACTAAGCCCGCAAAAAGCGACTACTGTACCACCCGCAACATGGGCCCCTCTCAGCTGTGGGTCACCCCCGTTACCAACAGCTTCTTCCCTACGAACGAGCTTCCAACTTGGAATGCCGATCTTTCGACACTGCAGTCCGAGAAGGATATCCTGGAGGATGGACTCGCCAACTGTGTTACCTACCTGCAGGTCCTACGTAAGAAGCAAGCTCGAACAGAACGCCGGCTGGTCACAGATCCCTCACTACCACGAAAGAAGAAGAAGCGGTTCCAGCAGGTCAAACGTGAATTGGAGAAAGAAATAAAGCACCGAGAGCAGGATGAACAGGCTTTTCTCAACAACCTCCAGGCTTGCAAAGCAAACATTTACATCGCCGAGACCGTCTCTCTGCCATCTACAGCCATATCCTCAACGCTACCAGACTTTGGCTCGATCTCGACAGGATGCTCGTACCCAAGAGACTTGGAATCGGCGCCTACAGAGACGAGTTGGAACGGTTGGACGGATGAGTCGGTCCTCTCGCCGTTTCAGAGAGAAAGCATCAGCCCCTTTTTCACCTTCGATGTCGCCCCGGACGAGCATCTCGAAGCCAGAAGTACCGACGGAACGATATCGGATGACTACAAACAACCACTCGATGCCCAGCATACCCGAAAGATCAACCCTATACAATCTGCATCGTCCAACACGCGGACCCATCTCCTGCTGAGCCCCGAGGCTCCGATATTCCACCCTCAGTCCACGTATACGAACCAGAAAGGGATTGTAGCTACACGACTAGCCGAAATCAACCTTCCTTCGGCAATGGCAGTAACAACGTCAAGTATAGTGGTGTTGGAGCTTCTGGACAGATGCCTTGTCAGTTATGCGGGCATGGGCCAAGCACGACGGCAGGGTTCACTTGGGAACATAGAAGATCACTTATGTAGCCTGCGTTTGGCCAAGCCCAGCTCGGACGCAACTGTCACGGGTGGCAAGCTCAAGTACAGAAGAGGCTCCCTATGATGAGACCACGCTGGCATGTTAGGCAGGTTCCATAACACCCCACGGCACACAATACTATTGGCAGGGTCCCACACTCATTGGCGCGGTCAGCAGTATATATAATTGGATCCACACATTTCCTTCACGTTCGATCGCTTCCGATGGCGCCTTTCTTCAACTCGGCAGCAGGCACGGTTGGCGAACGTGGGTTCATTGGAGCAAAAGCTGTTCAGGGAAGATGCAGAATAGGGCGTCTGGGCGGGAGAAAAGGATGTAGCTACAGGTTGTTGATGTGTACCATGTGAAATACAAGATTTGGTTGCTTGCGCTTGTCATCTGGCCTCGGCCCATCGCTGCCGTATTTGGTGAAGCGGGCTGCCCCACACTGTGCCGTCATCACAGCGCACCCGTGTTTGCGCGACTTGCAGACAACCGAACCACCTCTCCCCTCAGATCCACGTTCAACATCTGCACGCTAGCTAGAGTTCAACACTCTACGCCCGTCCGTCGGCCCAAAGAAGAGAAGCGCGATTTCTTGGTGTCTTAGAAAGACGGAACCTAGAGCCGTGCTGTGTGGCTCCAACGGGTGCCTCCACGCCATCCCGGCAGTTCCTACAGCAGACCACTGCGCAGTGCTTGCATAGCGTCGCGGCAAGCTCGCGCCGCAGCCGTCGCAGCAATATCAACCGGCGAACCCCTCACCTGGCGGGTGCTGCAAGAATCGACACCTTTTCCATTGCTTCGTCTCATCCAACATGGCTGATGTTAGCAATGGGTCCAGCGCCGACGATAGCCAGCTACGCGAGCGGCCGTCGGCTAAGCCGCTGCATCTCAACAACGCAGACGATGCTAAGCAAAAGGTTTTGGAGCTGAACGACCACGAAGACAAGAACCACAAAGATGACAGCAAGAAACGCACCTATGGAAGAACTCCAGACGGTACAGGTACGTCTCCCCTGGTGCTGCACCGAAGCAAAAGCAATTACCGTGCATGCATGCATAGCGTGTCCACCTGTACCACGAACTACTCATACTAACACCACACGTCTAGTCTTCATCGTTCCACAGACTCACGACATGGTCTCGCAGCTGCTCTCGCCCTCGCAACCCAAGAACCTGTCCGATATAGCAGTCCTCGCCGTGCTTGCTGCCCTGATCTTGACCTTCTTCGTACTGCCCAAAAGCGCCCGCATACCCATATTCGCAATCATCTTCCTCTTCTGGCGCGCCGGTTACAATGCCGGTATTGGCTGGTTGCTCGATGGCCAGTCTAAACACAACCGTCTCGTCCTCTGGGCGAAACAAAGCCATGTCTTCGAGAAGCCTGAATCTGGCAAGAACCCACACCCCGCCGTGTATAAGCTCCTCAAGCGGGAACTAGAGACCAAGATCCCCAACGATTACAACTTCGACGAAGCGCCGCTTGAGTACAACACGTGGCTCGTGTTTAGGCGTGTAGTAGACCTTATACTCATGTGTGACTTTGTTTCATACTGCCTGTTCGCCCTCGCCTGCTTCAACCGTCCCCAAGAAAGCTTCTTCTTGTGGATTCTGCGCTGGACGACAGGCATTGTTCTATTCCTCTTCAACCTGTGGGTCAAGCTAGACGCCCACAGAGTTGTTAAGGACTTCGCTTGGTTGGGGACCCCTCCCTGACTTTGAAAGATAGACGTCTAACATGCGAGACAGGTATTGGGGCGATTTCTTCTACCTCATTGATCAAAGCCTGACCTTCGATGGCGTCTTTGAGATGGCACCGCAGTAAGAGGCTCCATGTTACTTTTAGCCTGAAAAAGACACTAACTCGCCGGT